GTGATTAATCTCACCGCACTAAAGTATCTCCCTGGCAGCTGTTGGCATGTGTCGTCCACCCCATTGATCAGGCCCGTCTGTGCAGGCAGAGCTGCATAATTCTATTTAATGTATGAGGAGGGAGGGAGGCTCTCGGCCTGTCACAGTCAGTGTGGGCCGATCCAACTGGCCCATTGCTAATGCGGCCTGCCAGGTTTCCCCGAGGAGAGAGTCTGGGTTTAGGGAGCATGGAAGAGAACTCATTCTGCCCATGCCGATTCGTCAAACAGGAGGGGAGAACTGTATCTCCAGGTGATCCCAAAAAACAGCCAGACAGACTGAAAGAGAGCAGGCAGAACATAATACGACAACCCAGAGACAGAGAGGAAACGAGATGAAAAAGATAGGTTGTTAAATTGTAAAACACTAACCTGCTGCTGAGGGAAATTAACATTTATGTTCTTATCGATGGAAACAGCTGAGTGGCTGCGTTAGGGTTGGCATTTGTATAAGAAGTTATTAAAATGTCTCCGTTAATTTGTGTGTTGTAGCGGCATTTTGGTGAAACCTGAGGAAGCAGTACATCAAATGGCATTTCAAAATTATAGGAATTAGTAATAAGCGTTACAAAAGGTTTATGGTTTAATTTTAACATCCAATTGAAATTGTTGTTGTTAATGCAGAACATGAATGACGAAATTAATAATGTATTCTTCAAAGCAATGGGGGCGTTTTAAGTGAAACAACTCGTCTCCAACTCTTATACATGATGCTTTCACATGAAATTATAGCTGATCGTGCATGATTTACTGTAAGCAATTATAATACGTTTGACGAGTAGTTCCTCACCAAAGTCAGTAGAATTCATCCTCTTGGGAACATAAATGTCCATACAAAAAACTAATGGCAATCCATCCAGACCTTAGATTATGAACCTTTTGAGTCCTGATGTTTGGTAAAGTTAGCCACTTTTGCCGTCTTAGTTTGTCGTATTAATTGCCATCATTTTCTAATCACCACTTAATATAGTTTAGCTGGAGTTGATGAGAGGTCAATCGTTTTGTAGGTATTAAAGTCCTACTTGCAAGTATTTAACACTTTAAACATTAACCAGATTATGGATTAAAAACTCAGGGAATCTCCATTACAGGCCATCCTGTGGGGATAAAGAAATTATTTACCAGATTGAATGGCATTTAATGCAACCTGTTCAAGACCTTTCAAAGTTGTGGTAGATCCTTGGGAAAAGGATCATCGAAGTTAGAGGGCTCATCCTCAGGCAAGCCCGCCTTAACCTGCCATCAGGCCCTGGGGCTGATAGGTTTTGTAGGCCCCCTATTTAAACAACAAATCAAAGTCATTTATAGCCTCGACAGGCTCTGTGATCACACACACACACACACACACACACACACACACACACACACACACCACTAATTGAGCACTATGAACAGCAACATATGGCCTCAATGCCAGGTATCAGTAGATGAGAATGATCATTATCTCCGGTGGATTAACACAAACCTAGTTATGTAAAACTATGCACAACTCATTTAAACCTGCAGGCTACTGGGAATCAATGAATAGTGCAGCATTGCCTTACCTCTTTAGCAGTGTTTCCTTTTCCGAGCGCCACTCTCAAACTTTTTCTTCTCCGAATTTGTCTCCTAAACAACCTTCATCTGTCACTTAATCACTCGCAATTTGAATAAGTCACATGTGAAACATATTCTCATTCTGATTGGGCTGTTATTGCCCACTGACTGTTTCGGAGTCATCATTTTAGAGAAAAATCTCTGGAATCCATCGATCTGATTGATTAGCGGAGTAAATGATCAAAATACTACGGAGGGAAGATATTTTCGTTTGGATTACTGGTCTAGGGGAAGCTCGCGAGTGTGTGTGTGTGTGTGTGTGTGTGTGTGTGTGTGTGTGTGTGTGTGTGTGTGTGTGTGTGTGTGTGTGTGTGTGTGTGTGTGTGTGTGTGTGTGTATGTGTGTATTGTGTTTGTTTTCCGGGGAAAACACTCACGAGAAACACCGGCTGTTGTTATGCTGTGACGTCAAGTTACTCCGTTCTCCGCTTGTAATTATGCCGAAGCTTCAAAGTTGTATTTATCATCTGAATTTGCTGAAACAAGTTTAATATTCTGAAAGCCAAGACTTTGTTTATTTGAAATCAGATGAAAACAAACTGTAACGGACCCTGCCGTGTTATCTATGATTACTATACGCCTTACATTCATAATTTAAGCGGAGGGAGGGGGAGCGGCGCTGTGGAACAGCAGAGTGGCGAGGGAGAGCTGTCTTCTTCCCTTTAGCTTCAAAAATGTATTTATCGTGTGATTTTGGAAATAAAAGTTTCATATTCTGAAAGCCAAGACTTTGTTTATTTAAAATAAAAATATTACACCTGAAATAAAAAAATAAAGATTTCCATTTTTTTTTTTTTTTTGATTGGCTCATGTTAGGCCCCCGAATTCCGTAGGCCCCTGGGCTTCAGCCCAGGTCAGCCTGTTTATTAAGGCGGCCCTGTCCTCAGGGGAGCATGAATATTTGTAACAAGCTGATTTGCAATCCATCTAGTAGTTTTTGAGAGATTTCAGTCTCCATCAAAATGATTAACCAACAGACATACCTAAAGACAACAGCTTGAAATGTTTCTTAAATAAGAAAAAAAAAGGAATTAAGCAAACGCATAACGAAAGTATAACTTGGTGCTTAAGATTCCAGTGGCTTTTCAATGCGAGCCGGTGGGTTCAGGTCGTAATTTTGAGTGAATGCTAAACAGGCCACCCAGCCTTCAAATCCATTGTGAAGCGAATACTAAACAGACAGGGGCAGTGCACACATAGCTTTAATCAATGCTATTATTAATGGCTGACTGCTCCTGATAGGTAGGAAAGCCAGCTGAGAAGACATTTCACACTTTAATCAGGTAGAAAAATACCATTTGCAGCACTTATGGTCCTCCCTACAAACATGTCACTGCTCATTTTAGAGATTTTTATCCAGATGGAGCAAGTTAGTTTTGTCATTTAAGAAATAAATGGTGCATTAAAGCCTAAACTGAATCCTAATGACCATCCTAATATTGACAGTAACATAGCATGGTATCATATTTCGAGATTTTTGGAATAATTTATTTTTAAACAATGTTTCAATGTCAATAATCGCAGATACCAGTTTATCACAATTAGACCCATGAAGAGATAATCAAAATCAAACTGTGAGGATTCAAACTAAAGGGGCAGTTTGTTTTGCCCAAAACCGGAAGCTGGGTTGTAGCTCTAATAGCAGCTAATAGCAGCAAATATGAAATCTCAGTTTTTGACAAAAGTGGAATGATGGATTATCAGTAATCATTTCAAAGTGACACAGACACATTGGATTAACCTTCAGCAGCGTTTTTCTCGTTTTAATACCATTTAACTCAACTTTTGATCAGAAAAACAGCAAGGTATTTGCCGTTTTGGCTCAGTAAAGCTACGCTGTGTGTTGTCTGGGTTTGCCTGAGCTGTTTTGGTCGCACAGTGATGATACTGATACTTCTAGAATCTGTGAAATATCAGCTTTAATCTGATATCTTGTTTGTGCAGATCCGATAAGTAATAAAGTATTTATACCGTGAGTTCTTTGCTAAGTGCGCGAGCAGTTTTTCGCTCAGGGCTCATTCACGCTTCTTGTGAGACTTGTGTTTTCTTTCGGTAAAAATGGTTCGTATCGTCAGTTAGCTGAGTTTCTTCCCGTTAGGTGGGTATGACACATTCATGTTAAGAAGCCCTCAGACGCTGTTTCTTGCAGATGTTGCGTTTTTCGAATGGCAAAAAGTTACCATCTATTCTATCCAAGATGTGTACTGCTCAAGGGACTGACATTGAGAGGGTTACTACTTACAAAAAGCTGGTATTTCTTATTGAAAATAACTTACACACGGAAAATGGTGTTTCAAAGCTAAAAATAAAATTAGGTTTCTTTTGCAGAAATAAATCCTGTTTCTCCTTTCAGACAAGGAAACATTTGATATCTAACGTTTTTACCTGAATTGGTTTTAGAATTCAGGTCCATCTTAAACGTCAGAGAACACGACACCATTGGTAGATGTGAGTGCTCATATATCCAAAAATCGTTTTAAATTTTGCCAGTTTTTAATGATTTTTAATAGATTGTTTTATTTTGCATACTGGCTAATGTGCCATTTTATTTGTTTTTTACAGCTGTATTTGTCTGCATGTCTTGTCTGTGTTTTTTCTGTTGTAACTTCGTTCATGCTGCCCTTCTTAGCCAGGTCACTCTTGGAAAAGAGATTTTAATCTCAATGAGTCTTTTACCTGGTTAAATAAAGGTTGTATATATATATATTTGCCCCCTCCCGCGGGTCCGTACTGTTGTGTCCCGTCAAAAGTGTTGAGTTTAGTCATGTTTTTGTTTGGTTACATTTCGTATTGTCTTCCATTTCCTGTTTTATTTTGACACTCACCGGTTATGCTTCATTCCAGGTTCCTTGACTCTCTACCCTCCCTCTCTCATCGGCACCAGCCTGATTGTTTCCACCTGTGCCCAGTTACCTTTTGTTTATATTCCCCAGCTTCCCTTTGTTCTTTGTCAGTTCGTCTTGTCCTGTCCTCACGCCAGTACTCTGCTCGTCATCGATTGCTTCTTGATACAAGCCTACTTTATGCTTCTGAAACTTGTTGTGAGTTTAGTTCCTCACGTTGTGAGCGATTTTTGTTGTGCCTTTTTGGAGCCTTTTTGTCAACTCGTAAGAGTGTATTTATTTTATAGATCTTTTGTGGAAAAAATAAAGTATATTAATTATACTTTACCTCTGGCTCCCGGATCGTGCATTTGAGTCCTTACCTTTGAGTATCCAAGTTCTTGACACGTGGGGCTTAACAGGTTAACAAACGCATACAGAACCCAGCTTGTATTCATATTCATATATTTTTATTTTGTGTTGTTTGCCGCTGTCTTACCCTCCCCATTCTGAGTCACACAAAGAAACTCCTTATAGCACAAGCCTGTGTTGTTTTACATTTTATTAATAGCAACATCAGAGTACTAAATGTACAGAGGACGAATCCAATGAGAATCGCATTTACAGTGCTTGCAAATACAGAGCTTAGTAGTACAAGAGTAACCAAATCAAAGTCACCTGGAAATCGAAACGTTTACCAATAACTACAAAAGGAAGAGATGTGGTTCATAGGACACGAAATAAAATGTACACAACATTTAGCCGTCACAGAGACAGACTGGAGTCCCTTTTGTGGAGGTGTGTTGTGTGTGCCTGTGTGTGTATATACTATAGGTCTTATACAAAAGTTAACAGAGGTACTCATTGATATATTAAACACAAATATAAAAAATGTAAGAGTCACAAAGTACAAACTCTTCATTTTTATGGCGACAACACAACTCGAGTCAGCTTCTTCATGGTGGGGATGGATTGTGATTGTAAGTCGGCTTCGATGAACAGACCACTTGTGTGCCCACATGTCAAAAGACCTCCCCCATTCCCTAAAAAAGGAAACAAAAAACCTGTACAACTTCCTCAGCCCTGAACATTTAAACTGTTTGTATGAGTGTTTTTTTTTTTTTTATCAACTCTCATGGAGCAATGCATCTATATTTCCTTGCCGTGTCACTCATTCCAGGCTAACTCTCTGTTCTGAAGACATTGTACAATGTCAAATGTGTCAGATTTGGGTCACACAGCTAGACTCCATTGAACAGGGGGATTATGGGAAAATTGAGATGTTGCAACCAAAGTGAGAATTGTTTTATTGATTGATATGCACTGACAGCGCCTTAGCTTTTATTGAATAGAAAAGTAACAACATGGCCCAAAGGAGAGTCGGAGCCCTCCGCTTTACAGTAAGCGCACAGTATGTGATTTTTCTGACACAATAAGGAGAAGCGGAGTGGATTTAGTAGTATACGCTTCTAGGACTGTAAAGATACACTTTTTCCTTTTTTCGTTGTCAGACATGTATTTATCTTTCTCCCTGCTGTTTGAGCAACCTATCGACTTCTGTTTGAAATGAAATTCACCAACATTTAACATTAATGCAGACATGTGTGTACCATAATGAGACACCCCAGGGCAAACTGAGTAATCCATACATTGATTACTCTCCTCTTGCGAACGCTTCCAATGATATGGAAAATAAACAAAACCTCGGCCTTGGAGATGTTCAGCCAATATCTAATTCAGAACCATATGTCAATAGGTTCCTCTCTGTATCTCTGACATGCAAACAGGAATCACAGTCCTTGCAAATGAGTGCGCGGCACATCCTTCATCTTGACAGGAAAACCCTGGCTGATTGATAGCTTGTTTGTGATGATGGGAGCATAAGTTTCACGGGCTGCTGAAGAGACAGAAACGGGAGTTGCAAAATATTCATTCGTTGTGAAAAAGGCATGTCTAGTCTTTGGTGTCTGTTTAAGACTCTTTTTTTTTTTACAAGCACCCTTCCCCCTGTCTTTTGCCTGCACTGCTCTGTTTCCTGAATCAAATCTGAGCAGCCGAGTGGAATCATTTTCCTCCCTCTTAGCTATAATAAATCGCTATCATCGGCTATCCTGGAATATAAACTGAAAAGGCAAGAAAGCAGTAAGGCATTTCCTTACGTATCAGTTTGATTTCAGACAGAGGTAAACAGCAGGAAGGGGGATGTATGCCTATGTCTACTGATAGCCTGTTTTAAAATGTGTTTCATAGCTTTAAGTTCTATCTTTCCTTGTCCAGAAGCTCTTCAGGAATGCAAAGTGAATTGTTTTTAGCCGGCAGCTCCCTGTGGTTTTCATGAGTGTTGCTACCAATGCAAACATGCTTTTCAAGGCTTACTGAAGTAAAACCTGCTAATGTTTTACCACACAGTATGACACACAGGAATGAACGTCAAAATGTTCTCAGTTGAATCAGATTTAGTAAGTGGTAAGAATGAGAGAGCAGTCTCACACAATCATCATCGACTTGGTATAACATTTCGACCATTTTCAATGTCACATTGATTGAACAAATTGACACAAACTTGGTAATCACAAGTACCATTTTTGATGAAAGAGATCGCAATCTTCATTTTGTAAGCTTAATTAAAGCATAATTTGTGTCTATAAAAACTTGGGTCTTGTTCTCTTACTTCCTTTCGGGTCACCATTACAGTAGGTAAATTGATGTTGTCATGAGTAGGGAAGTTTGCTATAAAGACCAAAACCATGTTTTGCACCAGATTTTAATATCTGCTCCAAAGTCAGGTAAAACAAATAGGGGTCTTTTGAAATTGTCTGAAAGTGACCATTCGTTTGACTGCAGTTTGGTGTCCTGGCGCCAGTCTCAGCTCGACTTGGTACGCATACAGTTTAACGCATCTTTATCCCTTTGGACTTCATTTTAGCAAAGATGACGTGTTCCTAGTTACCATAACTGTTGGACTGGTGTTTCTTTGGCTACTATTCCTGAGAATGGACAGCTATACTAGCAGATCTGTGAGCACACAGTGTTTTGAGCTAATTGATGCTAACATTGCAGTCTATCAAATACATGTTTCCATTGGCACCAGAGGGTTGACTGACAAGGCCAGTGTATGTCAAGGCTGACAGTAAGACCCAAGTCGAAATAAACCCAAATTAGGCCTATACTTTAAAATGTTGAAATACGAAAATTGTGCGTAACTCATGTATGCATTTTTAACAAGGTCATTTTTTTCCCCCACAATTCTTTCGTTAAACATCTTTCCCTGATCATTTCATGAACTCAAAAATGCTATATAGTTTTTGCAGTCACGACAAGTATGTGGCAAATCCTACATTTAATGGGGCAATTGTATCAATATGTATATACAAATATAAAATATGACAAATGAACGTAACATCAAGTTTAGTCGGTTTCTTGGCAGCTACTGTTGGATTAACACTGTTTTTTTTTTGTATTTATGTGATGAAACACTCAATATTAGAATCCATGTAGAAATGATAAGAACAGAAAGTCATTGGTTTCCCAGCCAACCATGAATGCAGCAGAACCCAAGATATGATCACACCTCTTCGAATCCTTCAGTACTTTCAGACATTCCTCCTGGAAATCACTCCCCAGCCTCTGAACTATTGCAGCGTCTACTGAAGTATTATACTGGTTAGCTAAAGATATAATACAAGTACTGCTTGAAAGTGCAGGTAGGAAGCTTGGCACAATGTTAGTTTTGTGTTTTTAAAAGAAATACTGTAGTTACACATGTAAACAAAGACACTATCCCCGACCTAGCTGAAAACCTTCCCAGAAACGGGAGAGGTCCTGAAAAATAGAACACACCTGTACACAAATAGAAGCAAATATATAGAAAATACATTTACACGTGTATAATATACAGTAAGTTTTCGTAACCCTCTGACTAGTAAGATAGCACTCTTCATTCAAAAAAATATATGTTATGTCAAAGAAGCAACTCCGCAGCCTGACACACACACACATGTGAGGCTGACTTGGTATGGGTCATTCATGAGAGTGGTTATCATGTTGTGAATGGGCAAAAATCGTGAGTTTTGCACCACAGTGTTTATCCCAGGCCGTGATGGCACATCCTGAATGGCTCACATTTACAGATACTGATCCTTCCGGGAAAACCTTGAATTCTTTAAGGAGGTGAGCCTTGAAACAACCGAAGCGTATATTACGGGAGATCCGCTGTCGTCGCTGAAATAAAACCCACCGCTTTAATCAGTACATATTGCTGTCTGCAGCCAAGAAACGTTTACAATTTCAGAATTGTATTTGTGCTTTGTACAAACCCACAGCACAATGAAAGGTAGATTCAAAGGTGGTTTCCTCAAGAGCTTTTGGAGCACAAAGGTAATCGGTCTGTCAGAGCTGGAGGTTGATAATACAATTATTGGGGGTGGAAAGCTCTCAAGAGCGATTTACTGTCTTTCCTGACCAAGGGTTCCCCTAACCTTGACATAGGAAATAGTTTAAAGCAATTTGGCGGCAGCTGATTGGCTTGTCATAATCCCCTTACTTCAGTAATACACTGACAGAGTGTTTTGGGATTGAGAGGACAAAATGTACTACTTATTCGTATTGTGTGTGCACAACCCACGACTTCTTGGCTGTAATAGCAAATTCTGATTTGCTAGAAATATTGTCCTCAAGTGCTGATTGGAGAAATGTAACTGACCCCTACCTCACATTTGGGCGAGGGAATTCCTCCCTTGCTAGGGTTTAAAATCGACGTCGTAGATCATTTGATCCTGATCGACACTCTCATTTGAAAACTGGAGGATCATTTTATGTTCCATCAACTACAAATTGGTTCATGTTCATCTTGACTTTCTGACTTTAATACAGACTTTTTTAGGCTTCATAAAATAATGTATCAAAAGTTAATCTTGGTGGTTGCGTGGGAATAATCATTTAGTCTCTGTGGAAAGATTAATTTTTCAATCTCTGTCCCTTTAATGCAAATTATCACATGAATTTACAGGCTTGAATTTAATCTCTTCCACCCTTTTAAATCATAACGGTTCATTAGAATGTATCCGAACAGCTGCTGAAACTGAGACCAACATAAAGTATGCAAGAGAGCTAGACAGACCTGAGGCAGTATGAATGTCCTGCCCAGCTCTATGCAGTCTGTTGTGGCTGTACTTACTTTAGCTATTCATGAATTTGCTGCTATGGGATTTGTTCCTTTACTACAGAACCCTTTTGTCTGTTTTTCCATTAAGCCAAATCAGGTAAAAATCTTACATAATAAGCGATTGGAGCGGGTGTTGGGTTGGATTGCATGAGGTGTATTCATATGCTTTTTCTTTCTTCTAATCTCTGTTCGGGTATTTAATTAACAGCGCTGAATCCCAGGTGCTAGGGACCGTCACCGTTAGAATCTACTGTGTAAAAAAATAGACATAACTATTCTGTTTTTAAAATGGGACCTATATAAACCATGTTTTAAAATTAACTGTTCGCTAAAGCATATACCGTTTCTTTCCCCCCCCCCCCCCTCTCTTCCCAAACTAATAGAATAGTGCTTCATATAAATATCTTTTTAGACTCTTTTTCAACACATATCTTAAAACTATTTCAAAACATATTCAAATACATTTGTAGCGTTTTTTAATCTTTCACATTTCTTTAAAAAACAAAACACAAACAAAAGTAGTTGGAGTCGATACAGGGTTAATATAGCGCTCTTTGTTTAGTCCATCAGTTGTTGAAACTTCCTTCTATCCAGGTTGTGGCACATAGTGGCATTATTGGCACATTGTTCAGAATTACAGTTCACCTTCCACCCACAGAAGCTCCTTGTTTTTTTTTCAAATGTCAAATGTTTTCCTTGAGACATCTGTGACGTCCAAAAGTCCCACACATCCTGTAAATATACCTATATATAATCTATATCTAAATGACTGTACGTTCCTGGAAATATTGAGTGGCAGCGTTGTTGCTGCTCTGCTTGTCATCTCTAGAAAAATAAATATCTTCACCAGTGTCCAAAGAGTGTTCGCACTATTTTACAAAAGAAGCTGTTTTGTGTGTTTCCAACTGGATCCTGTGGAGAACAAAACCACAATTATTCTTAATTTAAGCCCGGCACAAAATAAAAACATTGTAACACAGATAGGACTTTAACAACAGGCGTACTTCCTAATTGTGTGTTAATTAAGTGTTAATTGCTGTATACTGTATATGACAATATAATTCATATAGACAATTACAAATTAAAGCATATTGTATAGTCGAAGTCCTTGAATGTTCCTTTATATGTGCATTTACTAGGTCTGTTTTACGTGCACTGTATAAAGCCCGGTTGAGGTCAGGCTCTTTACATTTCAGCTATTAACATTATTATTTGTTGTTGTTTTTGTATCGACATTAAGAGTGTTTAAATGTCTTTAGGTTATGCTCATTTCCAGGTTCATATTTGTAATTTGTGCCTCTACTGTGACATGTTTACATGCTTTAATGTTAAAAAAAGCTCTATTTTTCTCATGAATAACCTCTTTTCACCCTCTGTCTGAAACCAGAGCCCAGTCGTTCTCATTGGTTAGCTGACCGTACAGCACGAACATACTGTACAACACATGACCCCAAAATTGAGGTACAAAAAAATGAATAATTCTGTTTTGTGTTACACCCTTATATGCTTGGGATAGTTGGTATCCATTTCCTAAATCAGTTAAAATGGCAATACTGTTTTCAAAAACTATACAAAAACCTACACTTTAGCCTAGGAAATACATTAGGTCTGCTGTGTAATAGTAACAGATATTGTAAGTATGCAGCATAAGGCACATGCTGTGTCGAGCAGAACAGAATGAGACTAATGTGTGTCCAGACAATGGCGAGGCGCTGTCCTCTCACTACGCTACCTGCAGGCAATCTATTCCTTTTAAAATCTGGGTCAATAGCAGACGTTACACCTCCCCCCGGGCTCCCAGCAACACTGTGGGGCCGGAGCATGTGTTTAACTTTCAACGCTTTGAATTTCAAATGCGGGCCATTCTTGCATACATTACCATGCATACAAAAAAATGTTCACAAGTCAAGTGAAAGTGCTTCTTCATTCCTGTTCAAAACAATATGGTGTAAGAAGGAAAGGGGCAACATGAATATTAATTAAAGTATTTCAGATATGAGGAGTGAAATCATTAACTTTGAGAATAAAGCTTATTATTCCTGATATGTTCATAATTAGTTTCTTATCTCAACTAAAGATCTCTGATACGGCACTGAACTGGATTTCTCAGCCCTTTTTCATCGCAGTGCAGCGATTGAAAGGAGCGCAGTCATGTCACTTAAAACAAACCTATGCCAAGTTCCCCTCTGGTCCCAAAGTGGGGCAGCATTACCACGGGTATAGAGGTGGCTGAGGCTCATGCGAGGATTTGTGCAATTAAAATGTGGCACAGTACCCACCAGAGCGTGAATTCAGGAAGTGTCTTCCACCCACAGGAAGTGAAGAAGGCCTTCAGCTTGTCAACAAGAGATCTCAAACCATTTCTCTGACACGAAGGCCACAGGAATTAGTTGTCTTTCAGTGGGGGAGGGCCTGTAGGGTAAAGAGGTGAGAACGTTGTTATAGATAGATGGGAGTGTAGTTGGTTGCATATTTGCATTTCATTCAGTAAGCACCATTTTTTTCATTGTTAGCTTTTAACCTGAATTGATTCTGAAGAGACATTATTGATAAACATTTGTTGTGTCAACATGAGTTTAGGGAGTATTTGTCGACATGTTTACACTTGATTTCTTCAAATGTGATTATTCATTTACAAAGCGAAGAACAGCTACAGTAGGTCAGCATCTACTGCATCTTATTGTGTCTTCTACTAAAGCCTACTGTCAAGTCTAGAACATATTGTTTAAAGTGCATTTTTCAGGTATAAATGCTAGCCTTTAGAAAAAAACAAAGAGGCGTTTCACATGTGTGTAATACATTTGTGTCCTGCAGCACAGTGTCGGGGTCTTTTTTTTGCAATAATTACTCACTCACTATACATTATCGCTTACCTGACTATCAACGTTGTTACATATGTATAAAATATGATATTTAAAACAGATATTTAAAAGTACTTTCCCTAGAAGCTTAATTATTTTTTACTTTTTGTGTTAAAAGGCTTTTTTGTTTCTTTCCCAGTGTGTAAAAACAACAACATGGCGGACACCCGGCTTATTTTCTTGTGGAAAATCGGAAATTGTAGGATAGATGGCTGTGCTTGTTGCTGTGGTCCTGGATCATAAGTCCTGGGTGGATATCCTCGTGGATTCATCTTCCTATTATACACACATGCATTTGCAAACATTTGGTCTACCTATGCTGTAAATGTATTATCTCTTCGATTTACACACGGCATCTATTGCACGTCTGTCCGTCCTGGGAGAGGGATCCCTCCTCTGTTGCTCTCCCTGAGGTTTCTCCCATTTTCCCCTTTAAACTGTGGGTTTTCTCCGGAAGTTTTTCCTTGTACGATGTGAGGGTCTAAGGACAGAGGGTGTCGTATTGTCATACTGATATTCTGTACAAACTGTGAAGTCCACTGAGACAAATGTAACATTTGTGATATTGGGCTATATAAATAAACATTGATTGATTGATTGATTGATAGTTTTGCCGTCCAAATGCTTTTTTATTACATATCTAGGTAGAAGTATATATTTTACATCTAGTTTGATAGATATTGGGTGTCCGCCATGTTGTTGTTTTTTCACACCGGGAAAGTTGACGATGACGTGACATGGGCACTGGCCATTGGGAATGTCAACATTTGAGAGGGTTAAATTACTACGTTTTTCCCTGTAGACCAACGTAGCTATTACACTTTTTTTGTGAGACTTGGTTGGTTGAAATGCGGAGGCAGAGATGATGACATGCATAAATAGTCCCAGGCCAGATTTGAAACCTGGGTCCCCCTCATTGATACTGAACCACATGGCGGCACAAGTAATTATTTTTGAAAGAAGTTACTGTCACATAATAATTGTGCCAATACTGGTCAAATCTGTGTCACTAATCACAGAGAAACACAAGCAGAGCGACAATAAAAAAAACATACTAAGACTTTTTGTTGAAGTTAATAATTCCTGAATTAATCAGCAGCGTTGATGCTAAACATTTTGCCCTCCTTCCATGACTAAATCCAGACACTTTGTACTATTTACACCAGCTGAGTGATCCTATCCTCGCTGCCAGAATAATGAATCTGTTACAGGATTTAGATACTCAGAGTAAGTGTGACCATCTTTGGTGGCCATGCAGTTTAGTAACTCAATAACACAGTCAAAACTCCTTTGTATTTCAAAGAGTGACACATCTTCAACCACAGAGAGAAGCGATTTGAACTCAGAGTGGAAAGCAAACACACCAATGACTCAACAGTGTTACACCTTCCTTTTGGTGTGAAGCAGCGCATATTAGTTTGGTGGGTAAACATAGATGTTTTGAGCACAGTTTACGGAGATTACATTTCATGACTTTTGAGTTTAGTCGTTGAGTTTTTAAAGTGTGTATATATATAGTACTTGTCTGCCATTTGAAATGGTGTCAGAAGGATCAGTTCAATGGCTCTGTAAAGACTTCACATTGCAGTGCCCTACATCTTCAAACTGACTAATTAAGCCAAAACAAAAATCCCAGGTAGGTTTGGATTTGTGTGTGCAGCTTGAGCGTGCCAGGGCTGAGCACCTAGGCAGATGATCAAGGAATGAATGGACGAAAGCATTAAGGGCAACCGATTTTATGGCTTTGCTGAGAAAACAAGCCTCTGACTGACACTGATTGTGGTTGAGAATAGAAGCGCACTCAAGGGGAAGAATGTGAGGAATTTAATCATTTTATGAAGAAAAAAAGTAGTTTTAACCGTTATTTCCCACTTGCATTCGGTGGGAAATTCCGCCCCTATCTCTAAATTGCTTCTGACCCTGATATTCAACTTGTTTGAATGTGGAGGGGGGAAACAATTGACCCTGTACTACTCCTTGAGGTCAAAAATGAAGAATGAGTTTTTCCTCTATAATAATATTACTGGTGCCTTCAACCTGAAAAGATAATCTTGACCCAACTTCTTTGGTGAACAGCTTACTACATGAAATGGCTAAAATATAAATGGGGTGTCAAAAATATTGTAATGTAAAAAATGTGTCTGTAGCCAGTTATTTTGGTGAAAAAGTATTTCATTTGCTTGTCATTTTGTAATGCGTTATACTGTCAAGTTATCAGAACATGTATCCCCTCATACAACCACTAATATTAGGAAAACAACATTTCTTAACCCAGTTTAAATACATCTGGCTCTGCCCTTCAGCATGGGGTTACATCCTATTCAGGACATTAACCTGTAATGCCTGATTTGAAAAATCTCCCTGGAAAAGACTTTACATGTCCAGTGCTTGCTGACTGAACAGTGATTCCTGTGTGCATCCATCTTGTGCTATAAACAGCCCTGGGCCGGCGTACCTGTTTCCATTGTAAGCAGTCTTGTAGACAGGCGTCTGCTGGATCATCTCATCAGTGTAGATTGGCACGGCAGTCCGGACGCACTCATGTGAGCACTGCAGACTGTCATTGTAGGCAGTGAATATGTCCACCTTGCTTGGCACCCGGGCCGGGGTGAAGTCTGTCAGGTTTTGGCAGCTCTCTTCCTGCTGGTGGATCTTGCGCTGATGGCTATTGTGGCGGCCATTTCCCGACTGCGCACAGCTACAAAAACACGCACCAAAGACAAGAAACAAACATAAAATCATACCTTGTACCCTTCTCATCATCCAAAGGATATTCTGACATAGTGGAAGTTCTTACAGATGAGTTACACTGTAAATACAATACATAATACAAAAAGTAAAGGAATCTTTCCTACCAGTTTTTAAGGACGAGTGTTGTGATCAAGGCTGCGATAACCATAATGAGAGACACAGTGATTGTGATTATCTGGTGAACTGCCAAACCTGCAAAAAGACAGTAAACACAAGAGCAGAATAATTACATTTGAGGAGGGATGAGTATCACTCTTTAGTTTTCTGCTGTACTCAACAAAGTACCAGAGGAAACTCACTTTAAAAGGAGAGGATGACAACCTAGAACTATTTTGCACTTCAGTAAGTATTGATGATACTGTCATCCACTGTGATTCATAATTTAAGAGAGATATTAATAATTCCATTCCATTCCCTTACCAAGTCCAAGTTTTCTCCAAGTACTTGTAGAATGTATTATTCTTATGTATTTTTTATTTTGTTTTTCAAACCGAATACTTCCTCACACAGCAGACACATAACCAAAGAGCTGGTACGCTTTAAATACCCTTTTTCTCACGTGAATTCATTTCTGTAGATTTTGCCCAGAGGCTTTTTATTTAAAAATAAGTGAGAGCAATTTGTATGATGGTACGTCCAAAAACTAAACAAATTGTTCTAATTTATTTTCAGCGCTTTGGGAAGGGAGGTGTGTTAATGCAGGGTAGAGGATACAGGCTCTTAAGACCATATGAAAACATTTTATATTGTTTTTGTTCTTTTAGGCTACTTAAAACCATATGAATTGTGTTTTTGGCCAACAAACTGAAACCACAACATCAGACAAGCATATCACTTTTGAAATGATTAATTTGATATACTGTCTCTGACTCTCGGAAATATTTCCTTTTTAGGCTCTGTTTGGTCCCTACCACCTTTATGCCAATGGCTGTCCAATGTGTTGGTGCAGTGAAAGTAGCATACTGACATTTTTGAACCCAAACAATGTGTTGGTTTAAAGTCTTGTTTCGCTAAATCAACACTAACACTAAATAAGGAACAATGCAGCCTTTTTGCATTTTATCCATCTTGCAGATACGAAAGTTTTCCTCCCTTTCTTTTTGTGACTAGAGTACAAAAGCATTGTTCTTATTTAAACTCTAACCTGCCTCTGTGTGCTGATCTCCCACTATTGCCAGAGGACAGTAATCCACAAAAAAAACTAAACGGTGTGCTACATGTCTAAAGTAAGGATTAGTGTGAGCCTACTCCACTGTACAGTATGGTTAGTGTGTCGTGTGCTGTATGTGTGTGGGTGAGTGATAGAGCTGGAGAGCGACTAGGACACAATGACACACTGCAGCAGGTGACATTCTGCAGGAGAGGGGGGAGAAAGAAAAAAAAAGCCGTCATCAATAAAATGCCCACGTGGGCCTCATACATCTCACCTCTCCATCAGCCAGCTGCCTGGCTGCTGATCCAAGCCAATTTGTCTTCAGGAAGGCTCAAAAGGAAGTGCTGCTCTGTCGTTTTGGAAAACAACACGGCCTCTCCTCTGCCTGCCTGCTGTCAGGACAGCCTCCTCCTGGATAATAAACTTCTGCAGGCCAGGTCAACCTTGGATTAATGATATCTTCAGCTGGCTCAGGATAGCCTTACCTTCCCAGCGCAATCAGAATCCCTCGCCACGGCAAAGGCACATTATCTTATCTGTCAAGCCATTTACATTTTCTCTCATATCCCCTCTCTGTCGTTGCCCGCCTACGTCTCTGCCTTGTCTCCGGCTGACGTCAAGACTGTTAAGTTGAAAGTGTTTGCTTATAAATTAACATCTGTCCAAGATCAGGCATAATAGAGCTCGCCCATGACCTTGATCAATGGCTGAGATCTCTACTGAGAATTGTTTCATTTTACATTGAAGTCACAATGAAACAGAGCACTTTAAAGTCAGGACATTGGAAATTAAAAGATGCTCTTGATGGATTCTTCTCTGCAAAACCACATCTGATTAAATCACATTATGGCACAGCTTTCGGTTGGATCTCTAATGGAAACTGCTCTGCCCATGCAAGGAAAGGTTCTGATTTTAATACCAACTGTCATGGCGTGCATGCAAGCATCGATTGGCGAGTGTGATGTCAGTGAACAAAACACACGCATGTTTAGCAGCCCTGCCAGTCTGGGATTTTATTCCAGAGGAATTTGATTGGCTCAGTTGGTAAACACAGGCATTCTGTGTGCAGCTTAGTGATGCTATGTTACATGTTGCAGGATATTTCTGCTCATTAAAAGTTCCTTCAGGCTACCATTTGAAGCAAAATATACGTATTATTTCCTACTAGTGCCTTTAATTAAACAAATGTACCCAAGCAAATGAGGTCCGGGAGCACAAACCATCCTTTCACCCCTTGTTTTCAGGGCAGTATGTTAAAGGGTGCAGAGGTAACAGAGCAGCTAATGGCATGGGTGACAAATCTGATCCACAGTATTTTCATCCACAACTGCCAGTCAGAGTGAAATAAATTTGGATTGGCTGTTTGAAGTCAGGTTAAAATATAACCTTCAGTCACCTTGCTTTAGAGCTACCCGTCAGGTTTTGTTTGGTCAAATCCCTGCCAAACAAAGAGAGACTGAGAGGGAAGGGATAAAGTACAGCAAGCTTGTGACCTCTGTGGCAGCAGCTTTGGAGCCCCCATTGATGCTCCCAGCGAGAAACAAATGAGATTTGTTTGTACCTTCTTGTCTATCAGTTTGATGAACATGTCAAATAAATGCTTGGTGGGTAAATGAAATATCTCCTTGCAACCTGCTTTTAATGAAAGAACCCCAGCTTGAAAACTGTGTGTGGTTAATGTGATCTAAACAGGTAATGTCTGGTTCGAATTCTCTCCAAAATGTTTTTTACCATTGTTACATCATGTTATATAGGTATTAACAGGCTAGGTGTATTAAATATATGTACATTACTTACTTATTTTTAAATGTTTTGTCTTGTAACAGTTGAAAAAAGTGTGGTATAACTATATAATAATAATAAACAAACTGAGCAGTTCCCTTTAGCTTTACTTTAGCTTAATAGCTAATTGTTTAAGCTTTAACACCATTACCGTTAATGTGCGTCTGGTTTAGTCTTAACTCTCCTATCAACCTAGTTTCCAGACACAGTGGGTAGCTATTTTTAATGAAAACCCTAAGACTTATCTACTGTATGCGACATGACGAGCATCAAACAGCATACAAAGTTAGCAACTAGCATCTACTGTATAGAGCAATATATTTGCCCAAGTTGGTGGACAGCAAAATACTTTTAAAGGGAGAGTGAATATTGAACTTGGAGTCAGATGGATGTGCAAAATGTGTGTTTAAAGCTGTTTGCACCCAATGAGCCAAACATATTAATACTGCCTTTGAGATGAAGCATTCTGAGTTCAGAGCCTGAGAAGTGCGGATTATACTTAAATCTGAACGCATTCCTTCAATTGTGAAGTGGCAATTAGTGCAGTTCCGGTAGAAATGTTTAATTAGCTAATGCTGGATATAGGGATGCATCAGCACTCATGTTTTACTGAAACTATATAATCCCACAATGACATTTCAATGTGAGGAACACAGACCTGGGTAAAGACTGTAGCTCTTAGTTTAAATCCAAGCTATAGAATAAACTATTATTATTAGGAAAAGCACAGGTGTTACTAATACAATTAAAATGTCTCTGTTCTGTGGAAGTATCACCGTAATTTACAAAAGTGTGACAGAGAGCCGGCATGCAGAATACCAGGACCCTGAAGCCATCATTCATGTTATGGTTTACACCTGTGCCAAATTTTAGAATGCCTTCTCCTATTTTTGTTATATTCCTTACAGAAATGGATCATCCTAGTCTGCCTTAAAGCCCCTGTCACACTGTCCCGAAATTGACACCCGATGGACACACGAATATGGAATTGTGAATTTCGCATGAAGATGGCCCCGAACCACACACAAAGGCAACATTTACATTACATTTAAGACATACAGCTGCAATGAAAGTACCAAAAACAATTATGTTACAGTACTATGATACTGTACTGATATCTTCAGACTTTGTTCTTTACTTTATCCCTCTTTATATGTAAAAAATATTACGTTTTCTCCGTAATGTTGTTTCCATAACAACAACAACAACTTCCTGTCAACTGTCCTTCAAAATAATATATTATATCCTTTTTAGTTTCACAGAACACAAATTGGGTTATTTACATAATATGTTTACATGATTTTGTTGTGCAATAAAACAACCCGATGGACACACGATAAAGGAAATGTTCAAATTCGGCTGTGATCGTAGCAACATTGGGCCATTCGTGAGGGCATCTTAAGCCTTCGTATGACCGCCGGTGGAGTTTCTCAGGCTCCGGCAGCAACTTTGTGAGCGGTGGCAAAATCTTTGGCATGCCAAAAAATTGCCGAAGGACCTTGCGAAGGTTCATTTTCGTGTTGAATTCGTGTGTCAATTTTGCCCTTCGTAAGGCCATCGTGAGGGCATCTTGTTATCATCGGTGCCATCGGGCATTCACCCCGATCAGAGTGAGGGTGAATGCACCGATGATAACACGAAGATGACACGATTTGACAAGATGCCCTCACGAGTGCCTTACGAAGTTGCCGCTCACGAAGTTGCTGCCGGAGCCTGAGAAACTCCACCGGCGGTCATACGATGGCTTAGATGCCCTCACGAATGGCCCGATGTTGCTACGATCACAGCCGAATTTGAACATTTCCTTTATCGTGTGTCCATCGGGTGTCAATTTCGGGACAGTGTGACAAGGGCTTAACACAGACTCTGTGAATAAACTTTACCTAACACAACAACATCCCTCAACAGAGAGCATGCAATAAGATAATTAACAAAATGATGTACTTGGTAGAAATAGACATACTGTACAGTACCACGTTAAAAAAACAAATGACAACACTTAATTATAAAAAGCAATAACATTTAGTAACCAAAGGCGATTCTGCCATGACATGCCACCATTTATGTGGCAGTTTTTGACCTTGGCTTGTCCAGCTGCAAGTGAATTTAGTGCCAACATCTAAACTGCAGGCAGTTTGTCCTCTGAGTAACAATGCCGTAACAGGGCAATACTGGCGGATGATGAGGGAAAGAGAATGACTACTTAATTGCTATGCATGTATGTAGGAGTTATTGTCATTCTTTAGCTGTTTGTGTG